GCTCTCAATAGTGTGTATAGATGGGATACCATGTTTACTCTTGCTGATTTAAAGTGAGTTAAGAAGTTTCTCCTTCCCCCACTCTCTAATTCAAGTATCATCCTTTACCCCTATGTTTTTATGCTACTTGCATATCTTTGGGGTTTTTTTAATAAACACATCAATGGAAAAGTAACAATGCTTGAGTGTTTTTGTTTAGTTTTTCGTGCTTTACTCCCTGTGTAGAAAATTTCTGTGGCTGACTGTGTGCTTGGGTTGCCTTGGAAACCAATGCACTGTCTGAACAATGTTGATTGGCTATGAATTGTGGGTGGAGTTTTGAAAGTTGACAATGTGTAAAAGCGGCAATTTTCAATTAAGGTTTTATAAAAAAAGTTATTTTTCAAGGAGGCAAAGCAAGTTAAGCAGGTATCAAGAGAGAAACAAGGTAATTAAAAACCTATCAGTGTTTTCTAGCAGCCAACTAATCTACCTTTAACATATTAAGATTTTGGGGAAGGAGAGACCCTTTATGAGGGGGGAAAGAGAAGACTTGTAAATGGAGCACAGGACATTTTTTGGTTTTCTTTTTTTAAAAGTGGGTATATTGGCAATGTCAAAATGCAGTTTTCCTTAAAATGATTTTATCAGTAGTATTTATTTGATCAAGTTATTCATAATTGTAAAGTTTAAGAACATAAGAATATACAAATATAGAAATGCAAGCACTCATTACCGTGTTCCCTGTATAACCAATTCATGGATTTACATTACCATGTCACTCATGATGTACTTATTCTTCTCTTATGAAATCATAAACGGTCACATTCTGGCAAGAGATCATATAACGTAAAACTTTAACTCATGATAGTCATCTAGTGAGACAGTTTTGACTTATTTCAAACTATATGTCAGTGTTTTTGAGCCACAAATAGACATTTCTGCATACAATGCATTTGAAAGTGACCCTGGGTAACATTCCTAGCAGCTTTTTCCCTTCAAAGTTCTCACATAATCTATTACATCTTTGGGACGTGGGATGTGTATGTGTATCCTTCATATTGTGTATGGCTGGTATAATAATAATTTGTTTATTGTCTTTTACTTGTTCCTACAAGACAGATGGAAATTCCTTCCATAGCTGAACATCTCAGAGGGGAAACCATGTTAGTCTGTAACATTAAAAACAAGTAGTCCTGTGGCACCTTAGGCCATGTCTATACTAGGAAAGTATTTCAAAATTACTTAATTTGACTTAATAACTCTCGATTTAACAACTTCAAACTAGTGTGTCCACACGAGGGAGTTAAATATTGGTTAATTGAATAGTCAAGTAATCTCGTTAATTCTTATCGGTTATAGTCCCCTTGGGACTCTAGCCTCACTCCTGAAGAGCCCCCAGCCACTCTGCGCTGCTGCCTCTCTATCAGATTTTGCTCTCTATCAAAGGCAGCAGTGCGGGATTCTAGGTGGGAGGTGATCCGCAAGGGGAGCCAGTTTAAAAACCATATAAAAAGGTGGCAGCAGTTCCTATCTGGGGGCGGGGTCTGAGCTCCTGGACCTGGTATGAGCCAGAACTGAGCCAGAGTGCTTGCCCGCCTGGCTCCTAATACACTTTAAATGCAGAGCCACAGCAGGGGTAGATCCCGGCTCCGTCACTAGCCAGGACTGAACCAGGCTGGTGGCCAGCCTGCTAATAAATTTACTGGTGGGTAGTGGAGGAGGGAAATGCATGTAGTCTAATGCATTAACCTATAAGTTTTTGCTTATTGGTTAGCTGGTTAATCAACTATACCATTACATCCCTAGTTCACACTACTGAGAACCCTCAAAATTAGTCCAAGGCTGGCTCTGTTAATGTGGATGCACTACCTCAGACTTAGAGCCCCAGGAAGCTCTAGGGAGTAATTAGTTCAAATTACTCTAGGGAGTAATTATTTTGAAATACAGGCCCTGGAGCGTCCACACTACCATTAGTTCGAAATGACTATTTCAGAATTAACATTACTGCTGATGAAAAGCAGGACTTATTATTTTGAATTCCACAGCCAATTATTTAAAAATTACAGACTTAGTAGTGTAGAGAGAGAGAGAGAGAGAGAGAGAGAGAGAGAGTGCTTTTTTTATGACGGTACTGCCTGGTACCTCCAGATGCAGTACCAGCACCTTCAGTCAGAACTCAACAACTTTTCCCCTGGAGTACCAGCACCCCCCCTTTTTTAACAAAAAAAGCACTGTGTGTGTATATATATATACACAGAGAGAGAAAGAGAGAGAGAGAGAGAGAATCATGAGCTTTCATGGGCAAAACCCACTTCTTTAGATGAGATGATCTTGAAAATGTGTTCTTCATACACTGGGAGCCTCAGAAATTTTTACATACATGTATATAGATTTTTTTAAATGTATGCATGCTATCCTTATTCTTCACACCTTAACATCAATGGAAGTTCAGTTCACAGTTCACAAGCAGAGGGGGCTAGGGCAGCATTTTAAGAATTAATTCTACCTGTTCTGGCTT